CACCACATCTCCCACCAGTCCTTCTCTGTTTGTAAACAAGAGGTCGAGCGAGGCACCTCCCCTGGTAGGCTCCCTTACCAGCTGTGTCAGGAAGTTGTCTTCCACACACTCCAGGAACCTCCCAGACTGTTTCCTCTCTGCTGTGTTGTATTTCCAGCAGATGTCCAGGAAGTTGAAGTCTCCCACGAGAACAAGGGCTAGCAATTATGAGACTTCTGCCAGATGCTTGTAGAATACTTCATCCGGCTCTTTATCCTGGTTGGGTGGTCTATAACAGACTCCCAGCAGGATATCTGCCTCGTTGGCCTTCCCCCTCATCCTTACCCATAAACACTCAACCGTATCATCATCACAATTGTTGAGCTCTATACAATCGAAACACTCCCTAACATACAGGGCCACCCCACCGCCTCTCCTTCCTCGCCTGTCCCTTCTGAAGAGTCTATAGCCATCCATTGCAGCACTCCAATCGTGAGAGTCACCCCACCATGTTTCTGTGATGGCGACTAAGTCATATCTCTCCCGCTGCACAATGGCTTCCAGCTCCTCCTGCTGGCCGCCCATGCTGCGTGCATTGGTGTAGATGCACTTGAGCTGGGCTATCGATTTCGCCCCCAGCATTGACATGCCACCCCTCGACTCATCTCTAGTGAGCCCGGTTTTATCGCCTTCCCCCTTCAAACCTAGTTTAAAGCCCTCTTAAAAAGGAGAAAGGGAAAGGGCTTAGCAGAGGGATTAGAAGCAGGGAGCACCTCCTTCACCTGGGGAATGGTGGGGACACACAGGGCTCAAAGAAAAAGAAGGGGGCAGCAGGCCATACATTAATGAAACTTGCGGAAGGGAGCTGGTCTCCCTTGTAGGGCTTTCCAAGCGTGAGGAAGGACGGGGCCTCTCTGCCTCTTGTGCTAAGGGTAGCCACCATGCCTTGCTTCACTCCTCACAGGTGAGTACTCCCAGAGGAAAAGTCAAGAAAATAAGACCAAATCTCTACCATCCTTTGAATAAGGTATTATGACTAGCTAAATCCAGCTAGCCCTGCTCATATGGAGTAAAGGTCGCCTTGTGCATGTTGAGATGCACACAGCCAGTGGAGGGTGGCTAAGGCCACCAGAACCTGGTCTTCTATGGACACCTGCCAACGGCAGGCGCTGTGCAGCCAGGTGATAGCAGCAAAGGTGACAGGAGTCAATTGGAAGAAATTCTGCCAGTTAACAGTGAAAACCCAGGAAAACAACAGAGAGAAACTTGCACTTTTTCTCACCAGGCTACTTCTCTGAACTCCTCATTGCAGGTGGTTCAGAGAAAGCAGGGTCTATCTTCTTTTGCTAGAGAAGCCACATGAGAAAGCTCAGGACTGTTGAGTTCCCAGTTTTCAACCGCATAACTGGCGAGTGGGAGCTGGTTTTGATCACTGAGAGCACTGGAACAACCTGTGTGCATGCACATCCTGGTAACCTCTACAGCCACATACAGTGTTCTCTACCACTGGCCCCTAAACTTGTCATTTAAGTTGGAAGATGCTTCTTTCTTTAGCTGTGTGATATTAACAGACTGATATGCACAAAGCTGCCATCACAGAGAAAAACTTTTCCAGCATTTTCAAAGAAGACCCAGCTACACTAACTACACAATTCCCATCGAAAGCAATCACAGAAAATTGGTGTCAGCCCTACAACAATAAATATTTTAGCTTCATTAAGATTTACTAATATTTCTGATCAGAACCTCCGAGTGAAAGCTGGGTGCTGATGTAACCAGTCTGTGCACATTTGCATCTAAACTGTGCACAAATTTTAACACAAAATAGTCTCTGGAGTTGTAAAAAAACCGCTTACACCACTGGGCAACAATATAAGAAAGCCTTGGTACTAAGAGACAGTAATGTTTAATAGGAAAAGTTAATCTGCATATATAAAAACCAAAACACAAAATATAACATGGAATTAAATGATGCTTTAAATTAACTTAATCTATAAATATATGTACATATTTGTGCATATATATTTTTTTATATATAAGGAAATGTTAATGCTAGTCAATAGATAATGCACGCCCACTAAAATACGGTAAATGTGGATTCTTTTACAGACTGATTTATTGAGTGTAGGTAAGAAATGAAAAATTAAAAGGCTTAAGATGGTTCAATCAAAATGTAAAGAGTGCAAGAGAAAAAAAAGTGCTAACACTTTCCATAGGAGCTGAGAATGTAAAATCAACATAGTTGTGCAAGATAGAGAACAATAGTGTTTGTTTGAAGATACTGTTTCTTGTCATTGTATTGGGAAGGAAGGCTGCATAAAAGGTCAGACAAGTACCATTGTCTCACACAATGCATGTCAGCAGAGATCTGAACTGAATGCTTTCAGATGGGAAATATTGGGGGGTTGAGGAGGGGAAAAAGACTGTATGTGATACAGTAAAGAGAAGCAGGTTAGGTTCTCATGAAGAACAGTTTTGATCTCACTTTGAGCTGCCCAAAGCCAGGCAGGCTGCCTGTAGCTGAAATGGTGTGAGCACAATAACAGGCAAAGCTCTGGGTGCTGACATTTTTCAGCAACACACATATTGCCTGGACCGTCTTCCAGAAGAACTGAAAAACAGCAGGATTAAAATCCTGCTATCTTGTCTACACTCACTCTCTTGCCAATATACTAGCCTCCTGAAAGAATTGGAGCCTGTTAGTTCTTTTAAAAGTCCTCTTCTTCTCCCTACTCTCTGCTTCATTTTTCCCTTATTTCAGAGAGTTGTCCATGATGTCTTTCAAGCAGGGGTCTTCCTTTAGAAAATCTTCAGAGAATCTGGGGTTATGGACTTTGTTGTCTCTTCTGCTGAAGTAACTGCATTGGTGAGAGGCTGTGAAACTCTTTGGTCTGACCCATTGTCGTGGTGGCCGTCCATCCTCCTACCGCTCTGGTCGCTTAGTATTTGCTCTGTGTCCTAAAGCCCTCAGGCTCCCGTGATATTTCGTACTACAGAGAATTTGGACAAGAAAAGAAATAAAGAGTAGCTCTGGGTCAGAAAGCTCCTTTCTCAGAATAGTTCAGCACATGGTAGCCCTCTCTGTAAGTGACACACCAGCCCCCAAGGAAAACCAAATGTATTTTACAGGCAGATTTTAATCAGTGAAAAGTTGACATCTTTGGAAAGTGAGAAATGCCAAAATCCATGTGAATCTGATCAATCAACCAACTAACATTTTTTCTTCTTTTAATTGGCAGCTCTTTAAAAGTAGGTTTTTTGGGTTTTTAAACCTCAGGTTTCTGTGTTGCTTCTATCATGGTTTAGGCCTCAATTCTGCAAAACACATAAGTGTATTACAATTAAACAGATTTTCTTCACTAAACAGGGGTAGTTTCTTGCACCACAGAGGTGGAGCTAAAATGTCATGTAAATGATTTTTGAATGGACAATGTGCTTCCCATTTACTGGATGCATGCAGAACCCAGCAAATCAATCATATCACAGTGTAGCACTTCTCAAGCCCCTGCTCCCTCCACAGCTCCCTTGCAGAGTTCAAGGATAAAACAGGCAGTTTTTTCAAAACACACCTTCCAGCTAATGACATGCTTCTGGTGAACAGGCTTCTCCAGGCTATATCAATGCAAAAGCTGTGCTAGCTTTTCATGGCACTTTACACTTTACCCCTTTGCAATGCTTCAGCACCTGCAGAGGCTCTTGCTGTGAACTAGACAGTGGTAGAGCGGGTGGGAGGACACCGACCCTCTGGGCAGCTGTTCCAGCTTAAGCTGACCGTGAATCTTGCATGAAGCTGCATCTGGGAAGTGCCACTGCAGCACCTATTGACACTACAGCTGGCTTAAAAGAAGCACGGGTTGTAACAGCCTGCGGTGCTTGCATGCGTGCCTATGCTGAAGGATGTGTTTGGTCAATGCAGACAAATGTCCTATGACACAGCAGACCACTGGGCAGCCAAACTGTTGCTTTGACCCTTGCTTTTCACGTTTCCCTCTGGTGACTCAAGGATGAGTACTGGGGCTTTAGAAAGGTCTTCATAAGGTGAGTGTTGATCTCTGTATTAGGGAAATTTTTTCAGGTGCAGCTACAGTTGTTTGGTTGCCTTTATACCACTTTGGCCCTCTAGATCAAGGGAGGATGGACAGAGTGGAATTTAGCTTCCAACAATGTCTGTAGCCCACAGTGCTACAGTTCAGAAACACAATTCCCGTAGGCCTGTGTGAAACACTTACCAAATCATAATCACTCTTGGGAAAACGACCTTTATTTGAGGAACGCATCTCATATGGGTTGTTTGGCTGATATCCGGGGTTCGCATGGCCAGAAGTGGTCCGGACTCTGGGGAACATCGTGGTCTCTCTATCATCAGAGGTATTTGGGTTGGGATATCGTGACTTTATCAGGCTCTTCTTCTCTGGATCTTGTTTGTGTTTGGCTCTTCAGAGGAAATGAAAGAACAAAGGAGGTTTTAAAAGACCTTTTAGTGTGCCTTACTTACTGAGTAAGTCCAACTTACTGAGTTGTCCACTCCCACCTTATTTTGAATGCTCAGTCCTGTTCTGAAACATGCAACAGATTTTTCTAGCATACCTATTGCAAAACCCTTGTTATCAATGACAGAGTGCAAAGTTTGGCATCACTTATCATAGATGAGGCTAAGCTGCCAGGAGAGACAAAGGGGGACTTTGGCCTCTTTCAGCTAGTTCCTAGGGTGAAGGAGTTTCCTTGACCATTCCTCTGACTATTCAGAGGAAGAAATGAGGCATTAATTAGGCCCAGTTAAGAAAAGTTGCCCTCGTGCCTGCAGCCAAAGTTGGACACTCAAATGATGCATTTGAATTGCTTGTGATCACAAGTCCATACATCGCACACGCACTCGGCACCAGCTTGTGCACCTGCTGGCGAGCTGTGCTTGCTATGCATGGTCTTGTAGGCATCTTTACCTGGGCTGCACTGGGAGCAAAGGCAGAGGAGCTGCTTGAGTGTTTCTATATTTATTGTATGGAGAGAAGTGAGGAGGTGCCACTGCAATTGGGAATTCGCCAGTACACCAGGAATAGCAAGCTTTAAAGAGATACTTGGCTGGAAATGGCACCTGTATTGAGCTGAAAGGGGCATGCCAGGCCTTGAGCTGAAGTGCTAGCAAGGAAAGCTGCAGAGGGTCTGAATTTGGGCCACACAGTCTTCTGATATCGGGGTGCTTCTTCAGCCTGATCCAGATGCCATATCGGTACTGGCTAGGGCAGGAGTAGGATTAATGGGTCAGGTATGTATTTTGAAAGACTTGGCTGAAGCTTTCATGCTCAGATTCATAGCAAGAGAATAAATACTTCTGGGGAGAGCACACAGGCAAAACCAAATTATAATGGCTACATGACTTAAATGAACTTGTCTGCCCAACTAGGCATGCAATCACATTCACAGCCCTGCCCCTCTCTAAATTTCTGCTTAATTCTCTAGGAACATGCAGCAATGCAGCTTCTATTCAATTGTCAGAAATAATCTTACCTTACTGAAACAATAGAGACTGCTATCACTAAACTCAGGATAATTGCTCCAAACACTGTACCCACTATTATAAGGATGAGTTCACTATCTGGAAAAACAAACAAACAAACAAGAAACAGCAATTGAAAACTCATGGTAAATATTGCAAACCAAGTCCTGTCTCTTCAGACAGACAGACAGACAGAAAGAGAAGGAAGGAAGGAAGGAAGGAAGAAAAGAAAAGAAAAGAAAAGAAAAGAAAAGAAAAGAAAAGAAAAGAAAAGAAAAGAAAAGAAAAGAAAAGAAAAGAAAAGAAAAGAAAAGAAAAGAAAAGAAAAGAAAAGAAAAGAAAAGAAAAGAAAAGAAAAGAAAAGAAAAGAAAAGAAAAGAAAAGAAAAGAAAAGAAAAGAAAAGAAAAGAAAAGAAAAGAAAAGAAAAGAAAAGAAAAGAAAAGAAAAGAAAAGAAAAGAAAAGAAAAGAAAAGAAAAGAAAAGAGAAGAAAAGAAAAGAAAAGAAAAGAAAAGAAAAGAAAAGAAAAGAAAAGAAAAGAAAAGAAAAGAAAAGAAAAGAAAAGAAAAGAAAAAAAAGAAAAGAAAAGAAAAGAAAAAAGAAAAGAGAAGAAAAGAGAATAAAAAACAGAAAGAAAGAAAGATGTTATTCATTCCCAGGCTTCTGGTGCTGTCTCAGTACAACTATCTGTGGACACTGAAAGTTGTAAATGGAGGAACTGATCTGCATTAAAGACCGTGTCTTCTGGATGGCTATTTTGATCCCAGCTCAGGTTCCTAATCCCATGCACCGAATGGCTTCACACAGAGTTGTTCCGGTTAGCTGAAGGACAGGAACGGCTGGGAGGGCATAGGGGTTGCTTAAACTAGTATTGCTGCTAAAATATGTAGTTAGGTGTCAGATAGGCTCTACCCATGCTCTAGGCACATAAGGCACACTGATTTGAGATGTCAATTATGTGGCACTATGAACACTGCATAAATATCCCATATCTGAATAAATGTTTGGCAAGGAAAATTCATTTTCACTGATCTTGCTGCAGAACCAGAATGACTAAGGGAGGAAGACCTGCATTCTGTATATCTTCCTTCAGCTGTGAATGGAATTGCTACTAAAACCTCGTCTTAGCTCTGCATAAGGTAAGGAAAAAAAAAAAAAAGAAGAACTGTGTCCTGAAGGGCATAATTTCAAGATAAGCGTGTGAAGAGTAAGAGTCTCTTGAGCTAGCCAACCTTACTGGTGGTACCTACTTGAAGATTCCAGTCTGGATTTATGAGTCTGCCATTTAATATACTGAATGCCTATACTGGAGACACACAACATGAAACCACCAACTGTGCCCTTACCAGCAGAACAATCCAGCACATTTAATCACAGAAGCATACAGTGAGACAACAGGGAATATGATTTCTCAAAAGAACATTATGCCAAACACGTGTAAAGTATCCTTGGTTATTGCTCAGCAAACTTTTTACATCAGTATCCACCAAGTGCCATATGGAGAAGATGAGCCTATTAATGGTGTTATAATTAGCAGGTCCCAAATTTGTGTTTAGATTCACAATGTGTTGATTTTGTGCTGATTTAGCATTTTCATTTGCTTTATGAAAAAGGCCTTAAAATTCCCAAAACTTTCTCTAGAAAAATATGTTCCATGTGATGAAAAATATCCTTCCTGCCAAACATTTACACCTGGCAAGATTCTCTGTGCTGCACTACAACTACCGTTAGCCAACCTCCCAAACTTTTAGGCAAAACCAGGAGAAAACACTTGAAGATCTCACAGCTGCAGACACAGGCATGTTAAACATGTATAAGTTTAAGAATGCAGCAGTGTGAGACTCCAAAGGGCCACATGAGGACATATCTTTTGCTCAAATGAAGCTAAAGGAGTTCTGAGAAGTGAAGAACCATAACTGTTCATTTTTCAACCTGCCTTTGAGTGTATTATATGTTCTGAGTTTAGGCACATGCAAACACTAGAAGGTATGAAGAATGTCCTCTCCTAATCAATGCGATGGCGGAAACTGGAGAAGGTGCAGCGAACAGCTGCAAAACTGACTCAGAAAAGGGAAAAAGCTTTGGAAGGCCAGTCTGGTTAGTTTGTCCAGATGATTACAATTATGGGATAGCACAGTTGGGGCTATCATCTCTTCACCAGTATAGAATACTAGATACTATGCAATGCTTGCTTGCAAGGTAAAGCACAAACAAGAACCAGTGGTTGGATATTAAAGCAGAAACATAATCCACTGATGTTTTAATAGAGGGAATGATTAATTACAGGAGAAACTAATCCATTAGTGGTGCTGAGTCCAGCATTGCATGTCTTTAGATGAGGACTAAATGCTTTTCTATCAAATAGCCTGTGTTTGACTAAAAACTACTGGCCTTAATGTAGAGGTCATTAGAGGAAAGGCTACTGTCTGTCTGAATGTGAGCTTCAAGAAGGATTTTTCCTTCCAGACAACAGTGGAATTTCTCTCATTTTTTTCTAACATTTCTAACATCCTGCTATCTATACAGAATGGTGGCACCCCTAAAGGCTACTACTTGTTTTTTTTTTTTCTCTCAGCCAGATTAAACATTACTGGGTATTTTTCCATGCTGTAATTAAAAATCAGAAATTCTTGTACTTACTGTTCTTGCAGTTCTCTCCAGAGTAGCCCACTGGACAACTACATGAGAGAAAAAAGGGGAAAGAAAGAAAAGAAACATCATGTCATTAAGCAGATGATCACAAAACAATAGTATATTTCCACCTTTTATCAGCAATTTCTCTGCAAGGTGCGTTCATTACAGGTTTCCTCTTTAAAGCTATCTTAATATTGAATTGTTCAGTTTCATTGTTAGAGTAAAACAATCTGAGATTTTTAGAATGATTGGTGAGCTGGACACTCAAGGTTTCAGGTTCTCAGCCTGAAAAATGTTAAAAAGGCCTAATTTCTCCAAAGAACTAAGCCCTACACCTCTGAGCCAGTTGGAATTGCTACCCACTGTCTTTATCAAAAGCCTCAATATAAGGTCTGTAATGACTGGCAGCTCTTTATCTTCCTCCCATACTAGTTTTTTATATTTAAAATATTTTGACTTTACAGTAAAAAGTGTTCAGTGTGTAGCAGCAATAACTACAAAAAGAGCTGAATTAATGGATATGGGGAGTAAGGTCCCTCTGCTTATCCACGGTAGCAGAGCACAATCAGTCACCAACTCAACTTCACCAGCAAACGACACTGCTCTGTTCTGATCCTGAGCTGACAGAAATACCCGCAGAGGGAAAACCAAGACAAAATAACATAGGTCTGAAAGTTATCAAGAAACAGAGTCCCCAGCTGATATCAGTGGAAACTTTCCAGGGATTTGAGGCAAGTCTTGCTCTAATGCCTGCTGCTTACTAAAGGCTTCAGCATACCAGTTCCCATGGCTCAATTACTCTGAGGGAATAGTTTATGTTTATGTGCGCAACCCACAAAATAAGCGTGAAGCAGTTTATCCTCTCCACTGACTCACAGATGATCTTGGATCTCCTTGACTTTCCTCTGAGGTATTGTGAGTGCACACCAATGGCTAATGCCAAGCAGTTAAAATGCCATAACTTGTGACACCACGGGAATGTGTCCACCTGCTAACCACCTTAGGCACCTCTCGGATTCACATAGCTGCAGGCTGTTCTTCTAGATTGAGGGTGACCCTGTGTTAGATGTTCTTCTCCCCTATCTTTGCCTAGAATACAGGAACGCAAGAAAAAGCTGAGTACTCACGGTACACATTTATCATTCTTATTTTCAAAGTTAGGCATGCATTTGCATGTTGGAGTCCCTTTTTCTTTTGCACAGTACTTGTTTTCTTCTGGAGAACAGTTTTTATTGCAATCTGTATTTTTCAGAGGGAAAAAATACAGAGTGAATTGAAGATAGCCCCAAAAAGATCAGCATTGGAGAAAATTCCACCCCCTCTTTTTTTTTTATTGCACTGTGAACACACACAACTTTCTTGTGCTTCAAAGCACCAGAATGGGTTTTTTTTAGGGCTATACCTATGTAGAACAGAAACTGAAATACAAAAGCACAAAATTAAAAGTAAACGGTCTTTGCTTAAACCATCCAGCTTCATTAGAATGGAAATCTGGCTAGACTGCATCTTACATAGGCAAGCAATGACCTGCAGTTTGATCTCACAGCAGATGATTTGTATTGCCACTGATCTAAAACTGGATCAGATTAGACAGGTTAGGGGCCACAGAGGCCTACACTGGATCACATCTCACTGGCCTTTACTGTAGCCAGCTTTCATGATTTTATCATGAGTGTGTGCAATATTTGTTGTTTTTCTTAAAATCTCATATCTTAGACTTTTTTTCTGTGGTGTGAAAATTTTAGTTTTCATAAGAAGAAAATAAGGTACCTCTCAGGGCTGTGAAGTATAGCTAAAAACATAAACAGAGTACTCATTAAGAGATTCAAAAGAAACAAGCAAGTAAAACCCCAACAACTAACAGTTCCTAAAAATCACGTAAATCATTCTTCCCACAAAAACCAGTCTAAACACAGGTAATGCAATCCTAGAACTACCAACAAGGGCCAGAGCTCTAACAGATCGTTGTAGTGCATCATGAGACTTCCAGTTCTGTCAGCATCCCCATAGCTGCCTCCAGGTAGCATGTAGAATTTATTCCCAAAATATGTCCTAGCAGAGAAGGCTGTGAATATAGGAGTCAATTTGTTCCATCCTTTGCCTATTTAGGTTTCAATTCTTACCAAGAGTTTAACAATGCATTTAAAGAGTTGATCACTCACTGGTTTCAGTGATAATTTTCTCAGGCTTTAGTAGTTTATTCTACTGGAATAGAATTAGGGATGTGTTTAAAGTGAAACGTGAGAATGAGTTTCTATGGCTTTCTTAATAAGACACACATTCCCTGATTTTTAGAGATCAGCACATTTGCAGACTGCCTGTTTCAAAAAGGAACTGAGACAAGGAATAACCAGGTCAGCCTTTCAGGGATAGATAAAATAGCAAGGTTCTTACCTGAACAAGAACGATCATCCCATTCTGTCTTTGAGAAATCACTTTTGCATATGCATTTTGGAAACACATTTTCCTTGCAGGTTGTGGTTTGGGTATCACAATTAAAAACAGCACAATAGGTTGTTTCTTTAAAAGAGAAACAGCCAGGAAGCAAACTGAGTACTAGTAAATATCATTTCATAGAAAGAGGTGCACTTGCTCAGTAAATCATAAACCAATTATTTAACAATTCTGAAAAAAAACTTTTTTGGGGACATTGATACTGCAGGCATTTGGACCAGCCCTTTCTTTTCCCTTGCTCTTTACCAGTTAAAGTCCTGTTTCCATCCCACCTTCTGACCTTCTGTTTCTCAGCCTCCTACAATTGCCTCCAAACCTTCCTGCCCCCCAGTCCATGAAGAGGGAAATTCTACCCATAAGATCATATTCTGAACACTGGCTTTCTGACTCACCTTAAAAAAACTATAGAAAAACCCCAGCACTATTCCCTTAGTTTTTTCTACAACTGAATTGTGAGGCCCAGATCCCATACAGTTCTACATAGATATAAATGTTTATGAGCATGCAGCTCATTTCATGAGCAATATTAGTATGCTGTTTGCCCAGCATGTTGCTCTTTAGATCCATGTCCCAGTGGTGGCAATGGTTTACAAAGCTCAGTGGGTGGCATGCAGTGGAGGGATGTGATTGCACTGGTGCTTTGTTAGCGCTCAGGTTTTTTCTATCATCTCCCCCTCACGTTTAGGACTAGCCCACAGGAAATGTCATGGTTGAGGTGGATACAGTCACCTTCAAAGACCAAACTCAGGCTATAAGCCATGAAATGGACTCCTTTAATTATTAGCTATGCCTTTTGTGAAAACTGATTTCAAAATAGGAGCATATTTTAAAAAAAGATTAAAAAATCCATATTTTATTTAGAAAATCGTTCTCCTAGTATTAGACTTTTAGTAATGCAAGACTTTACTGGTTTAGGCCAATGAATCACTTAGCTCAGTAGCTCATCAGTGAGGCCTCATTTCAATTACCATGTTTAATTATGGAAGAAGAAGTCTAAAGAGAGTTTCATCCTATTTTGCCAGTAAAATACTGGCTTATTCTCAGAAGCACAATATATGTCTGTATATATTTGTCCTGATTTTTCCAGCCACTTAACACTCAGCAGGTTAAAATCAACATGCCATTGCATACTTGGGAATAAGTATTTTCTTTCTTTTCTTTACACAGGAAGTAGAATGCCTTAATACGACAAAAAAGCCCAGCACTGAATGGTTGAGTCTTCAAAATTACCTAAGATTGAACATTCAGCTCCTTAAAATCAATAAGGCTTATGCTCTGATGGGCTTTGCTGCACACAGAAATGTTCTAAACAGCTCTGTTTCTACTGATTATTTACTTCCACGGTAAGGAATTACATACCTCTGTACCCAGAGAAAAAAGGCAAATTTTTTCCTGCATTTTGTATTGCAGAATCAACTGCCACTTTGTTTACAGTTGAGTTCTCCATAAACAGGTTTGTCACTGTTACATTCAGTTCTTCTTTTAGAGTTCTGAAAAGTACAGATAGCATAATTTTAAAGTCTCATATAATCCATATGGATAGCAGGCTAGATGCAAGGACAAGAGAAGATTTCTGCCAAACCTCTCTCTCTCCCCCAGCTTCTTTCATCCCACAATGTAGGCAGTTGCTAAGACACCCGAAAATGAGTTCAAGTCTTGCTTAGGAATACATTAATGGCCATCTTTCCAGTAGATCCAGATGTAAATAGGTAGCTGGTAAGCAAAGGCTGTTGGATTTAATGCTGACAACATCACTCCTTTGTGTGCTGTTGGCACACAACTGATATTTTTTTACTGGGCTCACCTCAAGCCAGCTGCACTGTGGAAGACCCCATCTGTTAGACCCTAATGTTTACATGCTCACATCAGCCCGTGGTGTCATCCAGGCATGACATGGAGAACCCATCCTGAAGCATGGTGACAATAATTCAGAGTATGACTGCAATGAATTCAGAAGGGTCTGTTTGCACTGTAGAGGTATCTATGCTTACTTTATGCTAGCTGGGTTGGGTTCAGCTGGACAGCAATGTCCCTGGGGTGAGATGGAGAACAGCAGTGACTACCTGTTCTTCAGCTGAACTTTGTGCTGCTGGGATATGCACACAAAATACCTTTAAGTGGTAGATTGCTGTAGTGCCTTAAGATGTTACTGTGCCCCATGTGTTTGTCACAACTGCTCTGCTGGAAGTTACTGCCTCACAACTCTGCTAGAACAACAGTCTGCTTAACTGCTTAATCCATGGGGTTCACTGAAAGGGTTTACACTTCATGCTGTGTGTGCTAGCATGCCAGGTTTTGCTTGATGTGAGTTAGGGAGCGCTCACAGAGAAGCTGGCAGAGTTCTGGGGACATTAACCTGTAACACATGGAGATGGGAAGAGAGGGACATCTTACAGTGTCCACCTAAATGAGCAAAGGACCTATGCCCACAGCTACAGTCACCACAGCCCATTCAATAACATCTTTGCTCAGTGTCCTGGTTTCGGCTGGGATAGAGTTAATTTCCTTCCTAGTAGCTGGTACAGTGCTGTGGTTTGGATTTAGGATGAGAACAATGTTGATAACACACCGATGTTTTAGTTGTTGCTAGGTAGTGCTTACACTAGTCAAGGACTTTTCAGCTTCCCATGCTCTACTGACTGAGAAGGCTGGAGGTGCACAAGAAGCTGGGAGGGGGCACAGCCAGGACAGCTGACCCAAACTGGCCAAAGGGACATTCCATACCACATGATGTCATGCTCAGTACATAAACTGGGGGGAGTTGGCTGGGGGGGGCCGCTGCTCAGGGACTGGCTGGGCATCGGTCGGCGGGTGGTGAGCAATTGCATTGTACATCACTTGCTTTGTATATTATTATTATCATTATTATGTTATTATTATTATCATCATTTTATTTCAATTATTAAACTGTTTTTATCTCAACCCACAAGTTTTTCTTGCTTCTACTCTTCCAATTCTCTCCCCCATCCCACCGGGGCTAGGGGGGGAGTGAGCGAGCGGCTGTGTGGTGCTCAGTTGCTGACTGAGGTTAAACCATGACACTCAGCCAGCCATCAGGAGACCAGTAAATGCACAATGAGATGCAGTGAGTTTCTGTAATGAGGGTGTTTCTTAAATTAAACTGGGACTCCAAGTAGGACCTGTTCATAGGAACCTCAGAGTTAACTTACAATTTCAGAGACATGTCAGATATCACAGGACTGCTAGTTATAGCACAGTGCTATAACCTACATGGTGCTAAAAGTGGGAGATCCACGGTGGAGCTGTCTCAGCCAGCCCCCTTCCAGGCATATTGGAAATCCATGGGGTAAAAACGGGGCCAGCATCCCAGAAACTTTAAAAATACAAAAAGAATGCCCTCATTTAACAGGAGGCGTACTGAACTGAACTCATTCCATGTCCTTTCTTGAACTGAGTACTCCGTGGGAAACAGATTAAAATTAGGTGTGTGGGAAGCACGCGCTGTGCAAAAACCAAACTGGCAAACTTACTCAATTTCCACAATGACAGTCTGTCCAAAGCCTGTTAAATTACTGAAGGCATCTGTAAACTGTAAAAGATAAATGAATTGGAGTTAAAGGCAAACAGAAACATAGACCAACATCACATGAAGGACTGAGGCTTCAGCTGTAAAGTTTTAATCCAGAACACGCTACTATAGGTACAAATAAAGCAAGCTGATCTGTCACATCCACCATGCAAGGTATTGCAGAAGAGGAGTGGTGGGATGGTGCTATAAAACAGGGAATATAGGAGAGCAGTGGAGGGATGGAGAGACACGATTTGAATGACTGTCAGGCAGTGCATTAGGGTTGCCTGGCTGGATAGGTACAGATACTCCCTTGCAGACTCATCGCTTAGAAGGGCATCTCTGCGGTACCAACCTACGTACAAGTAGAGGGAAGAGGGAGAAGTAGGCATCCTAACAGATGGCATGTATCCCTAAGATGCAGTGAAGTGGGATTGTCAGGAGTTGATCTTGTGGGGAGAAGCACAGCACTGATGAAAGCACTGGGGGTTGGATGGGATCAGTAGAAAAGTCACTGCTCTTCCTCATCCCATGTGAAGCAGGGAACAACTGGTGGAGGCAGCTGCCTCCAACTGCCACACAAGCAGGAGACACCATAAGAAAAGGATAAGATGTCTAAGTCAGCTGAAATGAAAGATAAACTATCCTTCTTTGTAATAAAATAAAAATTATTTTCTATGCTATTTTCACTTTTGCATACTATTACATATCTATTCTAGTGCTGCATATCATGGACTTTGTAGCCATGTTGTGAAAAAATGTTGAACAAAAAAATTGAGGAAAATATTTTTTAACATTCTGGAGGGACAATTTTTGGTTACTTTCTGATAAAACATTCATAGGAAGCAATATAATAACATGAAGAATTTGATAACCATTTCTGATTAATTCTGAGTAATATTTGGTGAATATTTTTTGATCAGCTGTCTGGTAGAGTTGCATATCTCTTCTTCCTTACTTCTAGAACGCGACATAAGCAAATCCACTTGTTTCAAAATGGCAGTATAAATTAAACTGTTCATCTTATTTCTCCAGGAAATCCATTACAAGATTTTATTTATAATCATAAAATGCTCAAAATGTGTAATATCCATTTCACTAATAGCATTAAAATACTAATACTGGTATGCTTATGGAAGAGGCTTATTATTTAGGTATTTAGACATAGCTGGACAGCCATTCTGAAAAGTTTGTGCTGTGTGGAAATGAGGGCTTCCTTAAAAAAAAAAAAATGTTCATTTTTACTCATACCACTGAGTATTACTGAGCCCTCAGCAAACAGCAGAGATCAGAAACTAAATGAGTTGGAAAACTTTGCTCAGCCCCATGGTTTCTGGAGAGGGAATGGTGAAAGATACAGAGCAATTTATGTGAGAAGTTCCCAGAATAGAAGTGGGAATAAAATGCAGATATTACTTATTTCAGGTACCTCCCTTCACTTCAGCAAGAGCCATGCATGTACTCATCTGAGGGCAAAATTCAAGTCTTTTATGAATAGGTCTAAACTAGTGTGAGGCATTCTTTGAAAGAAGTAGATTTCTCAAGTGAAACTCTCCTAGGCTCCACATTAAAGGCAGCATGTATACACTCTGTCTGCATGACGTTCAGGAAAGCATTAAATACACAGAAAAGGTTTAAAAAATCATCACTCACAAAATCTGTTATTTTTTGGAACACCTCTTCATACTGCACAGAATTTATAGTTTGAACACTTTTACTGTAAAATTCTTTCAGTGTAATGACCCCTGGGAATATTTTTCCTGGAATGAGAACAGAGAATATTAATTAATTAGAAAGCATTCAAGTAAGTCGAGTTTCACCTTAGAGTTCTCCAGCCTTCAGAGACGGGGAAATACAATGCAGAAATCAATCAGTGCTATTTTTCATATTCTGGAGGAATCAGTAGGGGACAAATGTTTGCTCATTCAATTCAGCCACAATTCAGGACATACTCTGGCTAACTGGGAAGCAGGCAGGATACTGGGCTCAACCAAACTGGCCAGACTATGAAACTGAATAAAGTTAAACTGTAAGCATGGCCTGAAGCTAACAAAAGAGTCCATCTGAGGTGTTACAGCATTTAGTGAGAAAATACCTATATTAAGGACTTCAAATTTGCAGTCGCAGCCACTAAGCAGCTAACGTGGTTCACCATATCTGGGAAAGTGATTCAGTATCTACCTGCTTCTTTAGGCTTACAAGTAAATTTGAAAATCCTGCCTGCTGGCACTTAAATAAGAAGCCCCATTCGCTCACACGCTTGGCAGTTAGCAGCATCTCAGAGACGCACTTCAACAGGACTGTGATGAGTCTTTAGCAATAGGGAAAATCAAGCCGGTTGTTCAGAGATCTTCATGGGTTTGGGCTTTTTTAAATCCTGGACATTAATATTGATGTCAGGTTTACACTTGCATTTTTTCCTGCTTTTCAGTCATTTTAATCTCCAGTACCCCTGACAGAGAACTTGCCTTCTTTTCCTAGCACATTAGCCTCTTTTGGCTGTTACTGTTTTGTGAGATAACAATCTAGGTCATTGTAGCAGTGGCTGTCTGCAAAGCAAGGCATTATTCAGCAGTCACTTTCCCAGACTGATTATGTTTTCAGTTATAATATGAGAACAAGGGATATGGGAAGAAAAATTCACCTGAGCAGTTATCTATGAAGTGACTAAAAATACAGATTGCCCTTCTGCAACTCACCTCTGTGACAATCCTTGTTGCTATAATAGAATCCATACTGGCACAGGCACGTAAAATTTCTACTTAAAGCAACACATTTAGCCAAATTTGTTCCACAAGGGTCTGGGTTGCACAAGTCCCCTGATACAAAGATGCAAGATATTGACGTCAGGATTTCTATGAATTTGCAATAGCCAGTTCATATATAAAGTAGTTCATATATTAAATAGTTCATACATACTTCTACTAAAGGAAACTACCAGGTATGTTTTATAGAGCATAGATGCAATTAGAGAGCACATGGCTATGTCTTGCTTGCTTAATGTCTGTAGAGTAACTGTTTTCCCTACCCAATCCAGCAGGATATCACAGTGAGGACACAGAGTAAGGCTGAAATTCATTACCTGTCATACTGAGCACTCCCAATCTAACTCTACTTAATACAACTAAAACCAAAACAAACAAAAAAAAGTATATTGAGGGTGGCCAAAATCAGTGACTAAGTTAGAAAAAGGCAGGCTACAATAGCCTGTGCGTCTTTAATACTGCACTGGTAGGTACTTGCCTTATATTATAATACAGTGTCGTGGTAGGGTCCTTTACTGCAGACATTAATAAAATGAAAACTCCCAAGTTAATCATTATAGTATACAAGTTAATCATTATAGTATACATACCTCAATAGATATCAGAGTATGCTGCTAAGGAATTTGTTGTAGGGCTTACAGCTGTCACCATAATATGACTAATTATATTAACTGGCCGCTATACCATACTTCTACAGCAGCAAAACTTTGCGGATTTGTGCTGACTGCTGCCTTCTACTTACTTGCTGGAATTGTTGCTGATGTTGTGTTCATTCCTGGAAAAGGGAAAATAACTTAATATGTCAGCCCTGTTAGTGCTTTGGTTATGCTGAGGCTATCAAAGGCAGCATGGTATGATGCCTCAAAACCTTTCCCAATCCTGCTTCTACCTTGCGCTGTACTCTAGCCAGTGCCTTGCCCTTATTTCCTGCAACCTGTTGCTCAGTGTGATTTACCCTGCATGCCTGCCTGTGATATCTCTTCTCTGGTAACCTCTCTCTCCACTTAATTTGCTCTCTCTCCCTGCAAATTTTCTCTGTCCAAAAGCTCGGCAGGCTCCTCACATCTCTCCCTCTCCCCAGATGCCAAGCTTGTCATTGCTACCCCAAGACCAGGGCAAGGTTCTTGTTTCCGCCTTCACAGCATCTTCAGTGTATCCAGAGCATCCTGTGATTTATGCCTCTGTCCTGAGCCAACCCAGGTCCTCTTCAACTCCAACATATTTAAACACTTGGAAGACTAGTAGCACTACAGGAAAAATTCCAGCTAATCCTTCCTTGAAAATCAACGTGTGAGAGTCTAGCCTAGAAACATGCACAGCAATAAGGAGAAAACTCTTAGAAAGGTGTGATAGCAAATCCACCAGAAGAAAGAAATTTAGGGAGCAGTAGGACATTAGAATACTCTCAATTATATTTAATTTTTTATAGGGTATGCTCTTTGCCTAAAATGCTCACAGTTAGACTTTCTCTAAGTAATTATATATTCTGTAAGGATTTTAAAGTATGTATTTCAAATCTATACATAATTTATTAGTTAACAAGCAATTAAAAGTTATATTTCAATATACATTATATATAGGATGGTAATTACAGTTCTATTCCAAGTCACCAAATTCTGCTTTTCACCCTGCCTGTTTTTTTTCACTTAACTCCATAGTACGTTCTCATAGGTGAGGTAGAGATTTTCTGTGCCAAAAGGAAAAATACAGTAACTCTCCTTCATCCCCCCAAAAGTGGAAAGGAAAACACTTAATGAAGTTTCATTGGCTAGAGGGCTTATCTCCAAATACTGTTTTTCCAGAGGTCCTACTGAAGCCAAATTCTTTTCCTGGAGGCAGAGACCACAGGTAGAAAGAAACAAAGCTTACAAAGCTTGTGAAATCCTCCCCAACACTTTCCACTTGCAGCAAAAGCCAGCAGGGAAGAGTGGAGGGGAGACACAGTATTGACCAGGTGCTCTTTGTCTCCCCTGGTACATCCCACTGGGACAGGGCTTGGCAGGGCATGGGGGATTGCTGACAGGGACCACGCTGTGGCCCCCAGCCATAGGAACAACTCCCTGCAGGGCCCGGTCATGGGATTGGTCTGGGCACTGGGTCTGTGGGTATAACTGTGATGCAGAAAATGTTCCTGCATCACAAGGACGTGTGAAACAGACGTGAGTTTGGGGTCTGTTCAAGGAAGCAAAGGCACCAAGCAGGAGGGGACAGGGTTGCTGAAATATTCACCAACACATACCCCCTGCAGCAAAGACCAGAGGAAGACCGGAGAGAAGATGCAGCTCTGATCTGGGGCTCTGTGACTCCACCAGGAAAGAAACTCGGGGAAACACAGGCAGGGGAACTCATCCCTGCCTGTGGGGGATGCAGAGCTCCCTGGGACTGAGTTACTCCAACCTGTCCTCATGAGGGGCTGCCTGACGGCTTTTTCCTCCTTACCTGTATCATCTGTTGGGGTTATCATGTCAGGTGGAGTAGTATTCATTTCAGGGCTGGTTCCTGATGAAGGGAAAAGAAGAGAGATGGTAGCACTGCTTAGTGTTGTGTGGGGGAAAAGTCTTGGGGAACTCTGTGTGTATAGGACAACCTGTGAGCAGGTAAGTGGGGGACCTGCGTAGGGACTGGGCAGCCACAGCCCTGGGAAGCCTTGCCCTGCCTTTGGGCTCCCCCTGGCCATGATGGCTGTGTAGTCTGACGTGTCCATGGCCCCTTCACTCCCAGATACCAGGGCCTGAGCACCTGCCCCACACAGACAGTGCATTGCCCCCACCTCAGCTGCACTCGCTGGCCACAGCCGGCTCAGCCACTGGCACACGCGTGTCTCCTTGCAGGAAAGCTCCCTCCGCCTGCCCAAGGCAGCACCACACGGCCAGCACCGGCTGCCAGAGCAGGTTCAAGGGCACCCCATTAGGTTGTGCGTATGCTCCAGCCTGAGAGCTAGCAGAGATCTAGTCTGACCTAGTACCAGTGTTGCTGCCTTCTCTTACAATCATAGAATCATAGAATCATTAAGGTTGGAAAAGACCTCTAAGATCAACGAGTCCAACCGTCAACCCAACACCACCATGCCCACTAAACCATGTCCCTAAGCGCCTCATCTACACGTCTTTTAAATACTTCCAGGGATGACGACTCAACCACTTCCCTGGGCAACACGTTCCGATGTTTAACCACTCTTTCAGTAAAGA